CCGCCGCCCCCACCACCGCCCCCACCACCGCCACCACCGCCACCACCATCATCACAATCTCCAAGATCATCACCCTGATCATTCTTCGGCTCAAAAGATAAGTCAGGCCCGACGGTGGCGAGCCTTACTGTAGCCTATTATTGCTATTGCGAGTACCATTCACTGTAACAAGTCACTGGATAGCTTGCTTCTTTGTTCCCGCCCCTTTTTTTGCACATTCTGTCTAGCATCGCTGTTTATTCCAAGGATCATTCTTCCGCTGCCCAAAGCCCGGCTTCGGCGGAGCTGGTCTGCAGAAGACATCTGGCGCTTCTACCTGTGCCCAGACTAAGATGACTACGTTGGTCATGATTGTTTGTTCCGGGGCCATTATGATGACTGCCTTCATGAGCAAAGCCTCTTGCTTGTTTTCCTAAAGCTAGTCAACAATCAAGGGCCTGCCTGCATATCTGATTCTGCGGGGCTACTTGGTCATGAGAAACCTCCGACGCCCCAAGCAGACCAGGCCAGAACTGGACTCGCCGCTGGGGCTTGCAAACTTTGCGCGGAACCTGGACTTTGAAGACTGGCAGGCATCTGCCGCACCTGCACCGACTCTGGGGTTCGACCGTCTTTGGGCCTTGCAAAATCGTGGTCTCTGTCATTCTGTATACGTCTCTCTTTTGAGTTCAGGCGTCCTCTTATAGGTGTTGGAGATGTTTTCCCTGCAGGAGCATGCCCGTCAAAGGCAGCTGTTGGAAGAGCGGCACGCGCGGCACATGTGGCCAAGCTTGCGCTTCTTGGAATCGGACAGACGTATGGCGTGTGTGATGTATAGGTTTGCTCTGTTCAATGCTGTTTCATTATGTCAGTCTCAATCAATGGCGTTCCGTTTTGTCTCCGCTTCAGAGTATGAGCGGGAAGTGTGAAATCTGCAACTCACAGGAATGAAACATACTAAATCTCGGCCTGGCAGTTACGTCGAGGACGCTTCCGGAAGGAAGCGAGCGATGATAATTTCAATTCGTGAGGTACATGAACTAGGAGCAAAACTGTCTTTTTCTGATTCTGTTGCCGAGCTGCGGCCAGTTTGTTGTGTTATAGTTTGTTCCGAAACCTTGGTCCGTTTTGAGGTGCTAGTTTTCCAGGTCTGTTCGTCATCTTCTCCATGCGCCTCTCTGACCTTGTACTTGTTCTCCTTCTGCCAGCAGTATGCGCTTCCCTGCAGACCACTATGCAGCCTCCAGACATCGGCTCTCTGTTAGAGACGGCACGGCTTCCTAGGACTGTCCTACTCCCTCCCAGACCTGCACATCACCCACGAGCGGGCGCCCGAAGCAGATTTCGGCCGAGGGCAGGGGCGCCACTCAGCATGCCAGTTTGCCATAACATACCACAGACTCATGCAGTGCCGCTTAGGTGTGCTGGTAGGGACACAAGGTGTAGGATCTTACACAGCCGTCATGGAAGCGCAAGCAGTCAGCAGTAAATCGTAAATTGTTGCGGTCTCAGGAGACTCTGGCAGAATGAATGAAGATGAGGAGGTGGAGGGCGATGTGCCTCAGATGGCAGGGATTGTAGGCCACAACGCTCAAGGCCTGAAACGTCTGACTGTGGCTTGACTGCTTCAGGTGCTGCTGCTGTCGCTGGAGGTCGGGTGGGATAGACCAGGAAGTCCAAACCTGGAAGCACCAAACAGAAAGCTGAAGAAGAAAGCCCTGTCCTTGGCATTCTCATTTCTCCTTGTCAATTGTGCCATCTGTTTCTCGTGGAAACCCTCCAGCCCACCACTCAGATTCTGCTTCTTTCAGTCAAGCCCGAGCCGAAGCGGACGTGTTGTTCGCCCGAGCATGAACATCCTTTACAATCAACCCTGAAACTTCCGCGGCAACTGATGCACACTGAAGCTGCACAGCGATTCAGGGCTCCGTGACGAATTAGTGCTGCCATGCTCCTCCTTCCCTGCTGCTGCTCCCCATTCGTTTAGTTGGTATTATCGGGATCATCACAATCAAACCAGATCTGTCCCAACACTTCTCCCATGCAAGTTGGGAATCAATCCCCCCAAAGTGTGCATTACACTGTGAATTCAAAGATCCTCTAAGTGCAGGCTGAACGCGAGCTGTTGCATCCCAGGGCCCCCAGCCTGGTGGATATGGGTCGACAGATCGGCAGGAGCTTCACCCTTGGCAGTGCCATGTGAAACTGCCCCAAGTTGCCGGTGTTGGGGGACTTGGTATAGAATCCACAATTACATGAATCGCTACAGGAAGTCTTAAAAGTGTTCGAAATTAACACAAGCAATTCAAGAGCCCACTCCACTCCATACCTGCGAACTACATCGAAGTACAGGAGCGATGGCACAGTGGAAGATGTGGACGACTTCGAAGAGCTGATATTGTCACCGAAGCGCACCTTGGCATGACATTGGCTTAGGGCTTAGGGTTCTGTTTGTTGCGGCCTACGGTGTGGCCGTGTGGCCGTGCATGATGCAGCCTCCGAAGCCCGTGAGGCCCAGCCAAGCGCGTCACATGCTTGGTGGACATGGCAAGAGACCCTCGTCAGCAGTTAAAGAGCAGTAGGTGTGATGGTAATGATGCCGAAAGCGTGGGAGAGGCTGCAGCTGAGTTGTAAGCTTGCTAAGTCGAAAGGAGAGGTGCGCCACTGGCCTTTGCTGTGTCCGCTATCCATTCGCCCGACGCGCACTTCCACTCATCTTGCGTCTCCTAGCATTGTCACCAGCATCCTCACAAGTCTTGAGCATTGTGGTTCAATGCCAGTCTGTTGGTTTGACAGTCTGAAGCCCTAACCTTGGGGCTAGATTCCTGCAGTCGAAAGGCCTTCAAACATTTCAATCTGCAAGACGCAACTCCAGAACCAGCCAAGCCCCTTGTGATGTCAGCGTGTATCTAGGAGTAGTGACTGTAATCGGAACCGGAGTAGATGATTGCAGCTATTGCTTAAGGACCCTGGCCGTCCTCCAGATCCTGAGATGGATGCGCATGTCTGGGCCGAGGATCATCACGACAGGGCCCGCTGCCATGTGCAATTTCAGTTTGCCGGAGCTTCGTGGCAGTTGCAGTGGGCCCTTTGTCTGTTAAGTTGCGAGGTTTCGTGTATCATTCACAGGTGCAGCGGCATGAAATTTGGTGTGGTATCATCTGTGCCTCCATAACGCCTTTGCATGAAGCCAAGCACGAGCACTATCAACGAATCTCTGCTGTTTGAGTCCTGTTCACTTGCAATGTTGATGGTGACGGTGGGTGGGCCTACGGTTTTTCTGCTCCCACATCAGGCTCCATTTCGGCCCTTGCGCGACAGGTCTTTTGCTACAAGCCACTGGGTGGCTTAGCAGATGACGAGGAGGAGCTAGACTTGCCACTCGGCTAGGACCTGCGAGCAGTGACACGGGGTCCATTGGAGGTAATAATGTCAGAAGCGAGGCTCAAGCCACCCCCTAATGCTTAATGCTAGAAGCCAGGTGCAGGCGATCCCCCAAATAGCAAGGCTTCTCTGCGTCCTGATTACTTCGAATGAGTTTTGACAGGGTCAGATGTGCTGTAAATGCCAGTGAAAAAGGCCCTTCGACGTCTTNNCTAGCTTGACATCCATGATGCTGAAGTTTGCTCCTTCTTCCGGTACATTCCTAAACCCCTCGCCTCCAATGATAGAGCGAGGCCAAAGCGATCCCCGAATGCTCCTACTGCCAACCAGTGCAGTGTCAGGCTTCTGAAGCCCACGCCGCAGGCGCCCAGCACCGACTTCGGCCGGCCAGTAGGTGGGGGACTTTTGAGAAAGGCGTCTGGTGCAGGTTTGGTTACAAAGCCAACAGCGCATTGCTGCGCCCACGTCCGAAATTTAACTTTCAAAGGGTGTACCCAAATGGAACCGGTTGAGGTTCCCCCGCAGCTTTCTGTCCGATTTCAGCATTTACGATCTAAATCAGTGACACTTCCATCAATGCCTTTTCATGGAAGACGTGGCACGTCAGCATCAGTATCCTGTCGCTGCAGCCAGATTGCGAGACAATGCGGGTGGCGAAGTCCTAGAAACCTTCGAGTGCCTTGCGATACAAAGCGCTCTAAGCCAGGACGTCCTGGTCTGGACCCCCGGGCCCGCGAAGAACCCCGGCAAGAGGATGAGGCCCAGCAGATTTAGGGGAGCTGTATTTGGGATGTATGCGGAATGCAACGAGTTCAGGGTGTTCTTTGGTTTTCTGGCGTGCAAGTTCCGTGACTCGCCTTGCACTATGTGACGCTTTAGAGACCCTGTCGATCTCTTCCAGCATGAAGTATCTTGTTACATGCCCCAACAAGTACAAAACAGTCTTGATCCTGATGCCTTTCCGGGGCCATCCCGAAGGAAGAAGACTTGCTGCTGCTGCAATGGTCGCCTCCCTTCATCCCAGCTCGGCTACCGGTCCCGCCGCCGTCCCCGCCACCCCACCAGGATGCTGCAGGCACGTGCACTTAGGAGACTCTCTGATGTGAGAGCAAAAGAAATTCTGTGACCGGTTTCGGTTGGATAGTAGCTGTGGAGTGCTTGGAGCAAGACGTGTGGTCTGACTGAGCCCGGCTTGCATAAGTCAGCCCTGGTTCAAGGCCTCGAGATTCCCGAGCACTAGCACTCTGAGAGAAGCACGGCTGCAGATGTGTAAGACCATTTTCAGTGACTTTGGGGCGCTGCTGCTCTACTCAAGGGCATAGATGCTTACAGGCATGCGGAGCCTGGAAGGTGGAAAAGGAGCCTCGCAGAATGAGGATGAAAGACTCGCGGGCAATCGCAGACATACCTTCAGACATACTCTCCAATGGAGCTGAACATGGAGCTGAGCTTCAAACGATCCGTCTCATCTGGCTCAAGCTACAACAGCCACCTGAGTAGTTTGAGTTTACGGCAGGCCAGCTCTCCCGACCGCTTCTTGCTCGTTCCACGTCATCCCGCGGTGTCACTCTTTTTCGTAGCGCGGTCTGGCATCAGGTCATGGCCATCGCGCGTGGTGCGGAGAGGCATGAGCTACATGGGGCAACAAAGTATTCCAGGCATGCAAAACCAGGTGACAGCTGTGTATCACACAGCAGCATCTTCAAATCAGCATGCTCAGCCAGTCTCAGCCAAGAATGTGGGTGAAGGACTTGGTGCGTGACAGCCCTGCTGCTGTGCTCTGATTCCATGTTGGTCAAGCAGGATGTTCATACCTTCCCGCAGCGTTCAGATTGCGCAAGAGCAGGCTTCATGTAGGCTTGATGTCATTGGTGTTTCAGCCTTTTGCATGTTTCAGGTATCTGGCTCGTGTAGTTTGCACAGATTACATGGGGGGAGAGCCCGTGCCTCACTAAAACAAATGCTTCCTGGTGTCTTGGCTGGTGTCTGGGCTATGTTGGACGACATGGGCGGCCGCTTCCATGTGGCCTTCGGCCTCATAATCGTCACCTTCCACTTCAGGACCCAATCAGAGACCGTCATGCCTTAAACCTCTCAAGCGTCGGAGTTTTGTGATGAAAATCCAGGGTTCGGGGTTCAAGAGCATTGTAGACCCGTAGTGTTGACTGTTCAGCAGCCCCTTGCACAGCTGACACCGAAGGACGACTTGGTCAGATGCCATGGCGTTAGCTTGGCAAAGCTGGGTCTACTTGTGCCAGCGTTTTGGCATCAGGCGCTCGGAGAATCGGGATTCGGGATTTCAAACAGCCTCGGGTAAGGACGAAGCCAGCGGCAGGCAGGTTTACACTAAGTAGAGCTGGGGCAAAACCCTTTATATAGAACTGACAAAATTTTTCGGCATGCGCAGACTATAGGAAACGATAAGAATGGTTAAAACGATGACGTAGTACTTGATGTTATTTGATGGGAAATCGATAGGAGCAAAAAAGCTTGACAATCTGTTAAATTGGGCCTCCAGGTTCTCGAGGCCGCTCATCAAGGCTTGCGGTTATACTGTAGCCTCAACCCCGAGATCCTCAGCGCCTAGGCGTTTGCCTTCTCAAAAGAATCCTCCCGGGTCACAACAATAAGCTACACAAAAACATCTTTGCCATCGCCACATCTTTGCAGCCATGCGTATACCGCTCCTTAGACTGGGCCGTGTACAGGTGGCTGCGTACAAAGATCTTCAAACGAGTTCTCTGTAACGCCTCTAGAGCAGTCCCTGCAATGATGTGTAATCATCACACATGCATTTGCTCCTAGAACCATCCAACCGAAAAAAAAACCTTGCTTGTGCTAATCATTTGGCCCCTTTGTACAGGAATGCATGTTGTTAGACCTGCAACACCTTTTGGTAGCCCCAGAAGTAAGTCTTGCAAAGTGCCTGGGCATCTCTGCAAAGATTCTTACACCAAGTCCTTCCCTGTTTACTCTAAATGCCAGATCCCACACGCAGTTTGGCGATGTCGGTAAACAATCTTCATAGTCCTGCGTGTTGTTCACCCTCTTCCTCCCACCCCCCCAGGCCAGGGACCGCCAGGCTGGTCCCTTTCATCAGCCCAGTGGTGTGCCACTGGCATGCGTAGAGGTTGTCTGGCTGTGCAGACATGTTCATTCCTGCATGCAGGACGGATGCTTCTGGCAATGATGTCTTGACAAAGCGGGTTGACGAGGCCATGGACGAAGTCAGGAAGGACCCGATGCTCAGGTATGGACCGTAAGTAGTTCTTCAAGAGTTTGGGGTTTGGGGTCTGCAGTCTGGACGACCCATTAACCTCTTTGGAGGCTCTGATGCCGGTATCATGAGGTTTGGGGAAACTGTCCCATTCAATGAGTACTTCCCTGTCGACTTTAAATGATTTTGAAAATCGTTTGCAGAAAGAGCGCACAAATGCTCAATGAACATGCGTCACGCGGAGTCACGCGTGAAATTCGATTGCCACACGAATGGCTACCCGCAGAGCAGCGACGGAAGTCTTCAATCACGGAAGTCTTCTGAGCTTTGCCTAGAGCGCGGCGCAAACCCGCGAGCGTTTGAAAACAAATGATGACATGCATCCAGGTTTGTCAGCACGGGTCTGCACGAAAAAGCAGAGTGAATTGTCTGTTTTTTGAGAACGCCAAGATCGCCGTCCATGCTGAAGTCAGTCGACATCTTCATGAGTATGATGCTTGGAGATGGTGAAGATACGTGAACTGAATGCTCGCTCCCGCGTGTTCCAACCGCAAGCATGGCTGGTGAAGCTCAAGCACGCGCACAAAAATGACGTCAAGACAAAAGCACGAACTTCCGGACGTGTGCACGCTGAAGATCAGAAGGATGCCAGGTGCAAACAGGCTTGCCGGGACGCGTGTGTTTAAATGCCAACATGATGGGCAAGCAAAAGTTTGCTAGTGATATTCCAGGCTTCCTGGCCGAGCACGGAATGGCAGGTCGTCAAACTCCCGAGAATCCTTGTTGGGGCTTATGAGTGAATAGCAAGCAAACCAGGATCGCGTAGGCTATTGATAGCAGTTGATGATTGAAAAAGGGCATCAATGCAAAACATCTTTCTGAGAAGTTCCATTTCTACGGTCTGATATACAAATTAAGGCCACCATGGCTTTGTCCGATTGATCAGCCCTGCAGGTCTTTGTACGTTCTTGGCCTCGTATAGGTATTGTTAAAACTCGACTGGCATTAGCCTCGGCCTTTCCAACGCCATGGTTGTAGCGGCTGTGGCTCAGTATGTCATTCAAAGGACACCCGGAACATTAGCTTTATGTTTTTCAGAATATGGCTACAAGGTCTCCGTATGTGCGCCTATAGCGGAAGACCAGGCAAAATGACGACTCCTTTGTTGGTGGTGCCCAGGCTCCGCAGGCGAAGGGTACAAAGTACCGTCTTTCAAGTGATTCGCGGGATTGGCGATACGATGTTATACGATGCAGAGCCGCGCCTAGTCTTGATGTGTGATGCAGATGTTCTAATCTGCAGTGATTTGGAGCCTGGTGGGTGCACCGTGACGGTGTCACCAATGAAGTGGGCAAAGGTTGTGGTGGCGGGCGTGTACAGTAAACGCATCATGAAGTCGGAGTTTGCGCTTGCATGATGTAGTGTACAATCATTGTGTGGACGTCCTGTTTGCCAAGTTTGGTTCTCATGTATTGTGACGGGTTCCCTCTTATGATGTGGCTACCTGTGATACGGTCAAAAGCGGTAACACGTGATCGCAGATATAGCACAGTCTATGCAACACGACACGTGGTGATGTGCGAACAAAGAACTAGATGCTCGTTCTGCATAGAGACTTTGCCCAGGTGAGTCAGGAGAGTCTTTAGCGACGTAAAGGTCACATTTTTGTGGGGCTGCTGCGTTTTCCCACACGAAACTAGCAAGTTCACATTTTCTTATGCCGCAGCTGTTTGCGCAGTTGACTAGAATAGAAGACAATACAATTCCAGCGGATTTTCACCTTGTTTCTTTGGGCTACTAGTATTTGTGCCTCATGCTATTGGGCATAGGTCTAAGCTTCACTGATTGATGTCTCGCAAGAGGAAAGCTACGTGACGACTGCTCGGTTGGCTCAGCATGTCAACTTCATTGCCGTCGTCTCTGCGCCCTTTGTGTACAAAGGGGACAGCATTATGTTTATGGGCATGACGCTGATTACAATATTTCTCTATTCTTCGCACGTCCTGATTGCTGCTCGGCGAGTTCATCTCTCAGGGCAGGCTTTGAGGTATTATTTCACTGTCGCCTACGTGATCCTGATTGGTGCTCCTTGGCTTGTTTTACAGCCCGGAGTGCAGTCAGTTGCACACATGAAAATGTGTGAAGTCTCTCAGTTCATCTCAGTACTTGTTTTCTTGGACAGCAGAGTCCACATTCCTGGTCAACTCATACTGTGCATTTCAGAGATCTGTCGTCACATTGTGACACATGGCTGGGAGCAGACGCCACTGGCTCACACTGTGGTTGCTCAGCTAGTGTTTTCGGGCCTCGTCATCACGGCCTCGATAACGATGGAGTCTCAACTACGTGCTCGCTTGTCGGCACAGCTTCAAAACGCTGATGCCGAGTCCTTGATCTCAAGCTTTCGAGTGCTGCTAAGAGGCATTTCGGATGCTGAGCTGCTGCTCAATGGTAAATTTGAGATCCAAGCTGGCACTGGCCTGGATCGAATGCTTCTTTCAGGCGGCAAACTTAAACAGTCGACAGACCTCTTGTCACGAGACCCTGAGGAGCTTGTGCAGGGGATGTGTCTAGCCCAATTCAATAAGTCCACGTTTCGAATCATCAACTTGAGTCCCTCAAAATCTAATTTTTAGAAGCTCCCGCAGATCCCTGCAGGTAAGAAGACTTGGGAGGGCACTTCCTTCCAAGAATTGCTGGCTGAGGACAGCGAGGACCCTTGTTGACCCCGCTTTGAAGATTGTGGGTCTTTCTGCAAGCCGGCCCTGGAAAGAATCTTGCCAAAACAAATCTGTGACCCAGAGTCTATGATTTACAGCCCAGAGTAGCGCCAGCTAGGGGCCCCACAGCTTGTTACTTTCTGCACCCTTTTGTACTCAGGGATCTGGAAGTATGGTTCCGAGGAGCTTCTGGCAAGCCTCTCAGCAAACCAGCACACCTCTGTTGCAGAACAGGGCTGCATTGTTATATTTGGATGTGATGCATTCAAAGTGCTAGTCTACTAGGATATGGTATGTGCTGCGGGCTGGGAGGCTGGGAGTTGACGTGTTTCTTATCTTCACCTTCTGTGGCCCCACAACCCCTACTCCAAGCCCCCTACCCCAGCCTCTCAGAATTTTTTCCCCCCTAAAATTATTTGCGTTCAGGCTGGTAGTTCCTGCAGGGATCATTTTTGAGGTTCACTGTTCTTTGCATTGATTGGGTGAACGCTTTGTTCCTGGGGTTTGGATGCTTGGCGGGTGGATGTTTCTTTTGCAGGAGCAGGAACGTTTCCACAAGTTCATCTCGCGGCAACCAGAGGAGCTGCAGCTTCTGAAATGCAAGACTGTTGTGCTTCAAATTCCAGAGCAGGACACTGATGTAGGATTTTACTGCACAAGGTTTTTTTCAGAAGCACGCTTTACAGTTCATCTGCCGCGCTGTGGGTTGGTCTTTTGTCTAGGGGCCTTCCTTTGGCAGAAAGTTATGGTGCCAGGCAGAGCGACATATTGCGATGTGGTCTGTCAAGTGTTCAGGGGGGCGTAGCATGTCGACGTTCCCGGGCTCAGCGCTTCTCTAGCAAAGCAAGTGTAAAGTCCCAGATGTCATGCATGCAAACTGCAATCGTTCTAGAATTTCTCCCTTTTGCGTGAATGTGCTGTGGCAGCACTCCTACGGTGTTACGATCCCTGACGCGAGACGTTCATTCGCACTTGCACGCCTCGCCCGCATTCTCACATCGCGAAAGATCACAGTGCATGCAGACCCTTGGGGAAGAAGCATCCCACTGCCTAATAGTCCTCTCGGCGTTTTCTTTTGAACACCTGTCACCATAGCACCCTAAAGACATTGAGGACGTGTCAGTACAGTCCAGGATGCTAGTTGCAGATTTCAAGGACCATGAAGCAGGAAGCCCGGAAGCTCGGCTAAGTTTCCAGGCCTCTCAACTCTGAAAAGCCTCAACGCTCCAGAGTCTGGTGCAGCGAGAAATCCATTGAGCTGTTATTTGAGACCTACCTAGGTTGGAAACGGGGACTCCGCCCTGCCTCCGAGTGTCTCTCGCCTCTGCGCAGCAGCCCCTGGCACTGCAGTTGAAAATTTGGTGTTTTGGGTTTTGGGGCGCCCTGGGAGAAAGGAAACTGAGCCATGCTCCTGTTCAAGCAACATGTCGGCGGAAGGGCACCTCCTATTAACTCCTGAGCTCATCCTTTGGCAGCCGAAGCTCCTAACAAATTTACCACCCCTGATGCCCGGATTGCTACAGCCACTGAGCCACTTACAGCACATTTCCCGGCTGGGCGAGGCAGCGTGTGGGTGTGGACCTCTTCCACGTTCGGGTGCCGCGCTTGTTTCTGGGTAAGCTCCAGTAGACATTCAGGGTATGGGTTTAGTGTTTTCTTGGTTTAGTGGTTAACTATCGTCTTGTTGATTCAAGACTTCCCAAGTTAGAATTGTTAGAGTTCGGATTTTTGTTTCAGTTCAACTGGCCAACCTTTTGTCAATCAGAGTCGTCCCGTGCCTGGCAAGGTATGGTTGTGCAGATGCTTTTCACTTGCTTGCCATGAAAATGGATGCGGAGTCGACTGCGGTGCCGGAGGCCATGAATGCAATGAGGCTTAGGACTCGGGGTTTAGACTTGTAGGCTGGAGGGCGGAACATGCACGGATGGAGAGTTTGTGAAGGGTAGTCAGGGCAGCTAAGTCTCAGGCCGCAGCTTTCCAGGAAACATCCGTCTCACAGCACGTGTTGTTCCATGTTTTGCAGCCATGCTGTATGCATGCAGGCTCCGCTTCTTGTCTGGAGTATTTCAATTTTCCGCATCATGTTCTAGATCGCCCCAAATGAGTTTTTCATCGGCCATGATGCCCGAGGCAATGCCAGCACAGTTTTCAGCCTTGGCCAGGCCAGTGGGAAATTGTTGCTGTAGGCTTCAGGGCTTGCCGTGGCTTGCAGTGGGTTCACTGGCTTTGGCCTGAGATCCTGGACCCGCAATTTGCTGTCCTCCGAGATGGCGAATTCATGATTCTGTGATGTGGCCATTGCTTCAAACCGCATGTACAGAAGCAGCGCAGTTCATCGACCCAACTTCAAACTCTGGCCTGCCTTGTGCCCCTCCTTGCGTTTGCTGCTACGGAAGCGCTCTGGGGTGGCTGAAATATGGGTAATTAGTAAGGCTCAGGAGGTCCCTGTTTCGGGGCTTCTGCTGATTATGGCATTCCAGCCTTCGATGCGGAGTAGACCTGCCACCCCCGCCGCTGCCGCACGGCAAGACTGGAAGTTGCAGCCATCGCATGCCTTTCTCCGTAGGCCTTTCCGGCCACATCCTGGCATCGGCCTTCTGAGCTCTCGGGGACCTTCCCGGCATTCAGCACGCTCCGTAAGCTCCGTCGCCCGGTGGACGTATCAGGGCTTCAGTGTTTGTGGCATTGATGTGTGCATGCAGGAACACTGTCCTGGGTTGGTGCTGCGCTTTTGAGGTGCATAGCTTCCGCTTGACCTGTACAGCTAAAGGGTCCAGGATTCGAGAAACTGTGGGATTTCAGCTGATGTCTCTGTAGTCCTGCATAGGAAGATTTGTCAGAAGTCAGGATATGGACTGTGTCTTTGCGGGGGTTCAGGCTGAAGGCTTCTTTTCTGTCTGGCATGATGTTCTGCGCTTGGGCTGAGGATGGATCGATACTTCAGACTTTGGAACATTTGCGGGAGGTCATCTTGGTAGTGAGCGCAGAGCACCAAGTGGTATTGCAAGTGCATCTGCAGTACAAGGAGACGTCAGTTTGTGGTCACTTCGAAGTTACAAAGCTTCGATGATGAAATTCACAGGAGGACAATGCGGGCGCCAGTGGCAGTTCCCAACTTGTGACTTCTTTGCAGTTGGATGTATGTCAGGGGTGTGGGCAGGTAGCGGCCAGTATAGGCTGCGAGCATCCCAATATCCAGAGGTAAGCTTTCAGAATGTGATGTGAGAGTTTAGGATTTCGGTTGCGCAGAGCGGGGAAAGAGTGCTTAGGCCCGACGGTTCGGGAGTGCGAGCCGTGCCTCGAAGCGTTGAAGGGGTGAATGATGAGAGTGGAGAACATTGCTTGTCCAAACTAAAGCTTCTTTTCTGTCAGTGGAGGGCCAGTCATGCCTCCTCCATCCAGAGCTGGATCCCGTAAACCCCACAACTGCACTCCCCGGCTTAGAGCGATTCATGAGCAGGGAGCCCTCCAGTTCGCACGCCATGAACCAATGAAAAAAAACAGAGTATTCCTGAAGCTGGAAGCCCTCCGTCTCTAGCCAAAAGCAAGGAGAGAGAGAGAGAGAGTCAAAGGAAAGAGGTAGTCGAGATGGAGAACCCACAATGAACAGACAGTGGGAAATGTAGTGGTGTATAAAGGAACCAAATGGAATGTACAGGAAGGGCGATTAGGAAAGTCGTTCACACAGTGAGCAGTGAGAAGCAGGGAAGAGTGATGCCCATAGGCTGTACGGAGTTTGCGTGGGGTTTATTTGGAGGATAAATGATGATCACTCTTCAACCTTACCTCGGCTCCCGAACCAGCGCTTGGCTGTTTTTCCAGCAGGTAGCACCGACCATTTTCCCGTGAGAGAGGGGACATGCACCGGAAAGGGGGGGGCAGAAGAAGATAATGGGGAATAGAAAATAATGGGTTATGCACCGAACGTTCCGGTGAACATGCGAACCTCCTTGCCGCCAACGAACCGCTCGGGCTGGGGGTTCGCCCCCGCAGACCCCTGCTGCATAGCCTATAGAAGAAGAAGAGAGAGGGAGAGAGAGGGAGAGTAGCTGTAAGCTCTACCCTTGAAGGAAAGCATTGTTGGAGGCAACCAGTGATGAACCAATCACACAAATCCACAATCACGCCATTAGTATGTGGTCCCCTCGTGAAGTAGACTTGCAGCTGACAAGGCCCAGTGCCGTTGTGGAGTAGAGGGGTGTAGTTCAAAGAGGCCCAACACGGGCTGGGCAAAAGCCCGGGATGATCTTCTTGGCCATCCCATAGCCCGCACGAACGAAAGAAAGTAGCCATTTTGGCTCAAGTCTTCGCCTACCTCCTTCGGGGTATTCGCTCTGCCGGCCCTTTGGGGAGGGTGCTGTTCCCCTCTTCCCACGGGGGTTGACGTGCGGTTGCGAGCAGAGGCTTGAGGCCTACCATATGCAGCCGGTTGAGATCAGGATCTACATCCCCGGGACGAAAGTTTCGACATACGGAGGACTTCCTCATGGCCTACAGTACCGCGGAGAAGCGGAGAGAGGAAAAGTGTCATTTTGCATGGCCAGCGTGGCGGAGTAGTTAATTTGCGGGAATGAATTTCTATTATTAGAAAGTTACCGGCGGAGAGCCTGTGTTAGGAGTCTAAGGGGGAGAGGGGGTCCATCGCCCTAGACTTCTCAAGTGAAGTCCGCGTGGCGAACTTTTGTCCTGCCGCAGTAGGAGCCCCCCGCTCAGTGGCAGATCAGTCTTGAACTGGCCTCGCCAACAGCCTCCGACTGCAACTACCTCTGTGTAGCCCGGGTTGTCTACATCAATGCTCCGCGGTTTGTACCTCACCGGGAACCGCTGCGCAGTCTCTACCCCGACCCCCTTGCCAACCGGCAGGGTGACGACTGGAGCTAGCAATCGTGCCCACTACAACGACCTCCACAAAATGAACTCGGAAAAGTCTGTGCAACAACCCAAGCTCTATCCCGACCCCTTTGCCGACCTGCAGGGTAACGACTGGACCTATTAACAACTGAGCC